TTGAGTAATCAGAGAGATGAAATAAAAATTCAAGACTATGCTAAGGAATATTAGATCAAAAAGGGTATGAATAAAAAAAATAGCATTGGAATCTGTGATGTAAGCACTGGCCTATCTGACCTGGGGTTACCAGAAAGGTGTTTAGAAAAAGTCTTTTACCTGAGTTAGGTACATGTGGTACTGCCTCATGAGTATGCCACATGCTAATCTCCATCTCAGAGTCTGCTTCCCAGGGAGTCAATCACCAGTGACTACCAGTGACTCTCCTTGAAGCACAAACTGCTAGAAAATCTTAGTAAGCAAACCATCATCTCTATAATTGAGTTAACAAATGACTTATTCTACCATCTATTTATCTCTGGTCCATTACCCAAAAATACTTTCAAAAATTCACGCTGATCTTTAGAGCTTAAACTACAGCCAAGCTAAAACTGAGTTTGTTTTCTTCAAGTCCTGAATACACAGAGATCCTAGTCCTGATTTACATGGAGACATAGACAGTCAACAGAGGTTGGCCAAGACACACCCGGAACCTCTGAGGATTTAATCTCTTACTTTGGTAGCAAAAGATATCAAAGTGGAATTATTTTCTGGACAAAAGGCTAGGGGACCTGAAAAGCAGGAATCAGAGTCAGACAAAATGAAGACTTTACTAAACCATCTGTAAATTTTAGCAAAGAGATGCTGAAATGACATTTGTGCAAATTTGGCCACAGGACATTATGCAACCAGCAGAAATGTAGGGGACTGGCATGCTGTGGCTGTTCTGCTTCCCAGCTTCTGAGCAGGGTCTCTCCTTCCTCTGTCCTTCCTTCTGAGCAGGGTGTCTCCTTCCTCTGGCTGCCTTCTCTGTCTTTCTCTAAAGCAGACACTTGGGGAATGCCGAAGATCTGGAGACCATCATATACCCCTCACTTACAAGTTTTGGGAATACAGAGAATTTATTAACTTGAGTCTCATTTTCCTGTCTGAAGAAATGAGAAGTAAAGAAGAAACCTTCTCTGATGCAGTTGGCAGGAATAAAAACATTCATGAATACCAATGACAGAACCACATAGATCATGTCTCAGAACTATGCTTAGCATTCTAGTGGAGGGCCTCCCGTGGTGGCACAGCAGTTGAGTGCTGGGCTGTGAAGCTGCCCGCAGCCTCTGCAGTGCCAGTTTGATCCCCGGCCGCTGGCGAGGGTCCCACATGACGTGACAGACCTCTCCTGCCGCCCGCTGCTCCCCTCAGCAGTGTATTTCTTCATCAGTCTGCCTGTTCTGTTCCCCTCTCTGGCTCTGGTGAATTCTCTCACCCTCCCATGCTCTGACTGTACCCAGTGCTTGTATAAATAAATAAATAAATCTTAAAAAAAAAATTCTAGTGAAGGTGCAACCTCAGCTGCACAGTGGAATTAAATGGGGGACTTATAAAAATACTGAGGCCTGGAGGGCACTGTCAGAGAGTCAGATAGAAATGGTTTGGGGTATGGAAGCATCAGACATGTTTAAAACTTTCCAGGTGATTCTAAAGTGTAGCCAAGGTTAAGAACCATTGCTCTGGACAGATTATTTTATTTAAGCCACATAACTAACCTGTGAGTTCATTACAATCATCTGTCCTGTCCTATGTTTACAAATCACGAAATGAGGTTTAAAAAAATTAGACAATTGCTCAAGGGACAAAGCTGAGATTGGAATTCACAAAGAACTAGCCCATTACTGCCACACTGTGTGCTTCCAGAAGCCCACCAAACCAATGTGAAGAAGCACCCAGTGTGGCCTCTAGCACAGAGAAGTTTGCTCCAAAATGAGGGGTTAACTTTTTTCTTTGCTTTTTATCTTTCTTCCCTTCCATTCTCTGCTTTTCCCTATCCTTAGCCTGAAGTATTGCTTGGAATTCAGTAAGAGAGAGGGATAGATAAAATTTAGAAGCATAGTGAAGATGGATTCAGGAAAATCAGTTCCTTTTCCTTCTCTCTCCCTTCCTAAACTCTGTCCGAGAACATATATATGTTTCTGTTAAGATTGTTTAAAATAATTATTATAGAGATTGTATTGAAAATACAAGAAATCCAAGGCAAAATTTTTCTACCATCCTTTCTTAAGTTCAAATCAATGTTTTATTTGCCAATGTCAATTTCAAGGTCTTGCCCATAAACATTTACAGCCTTTATATTTGCAATAGCACAGTAATTATATGCAAATTTGTCTGCTTACATGATACCATACATATTTTTCTAGACAATCTGTCTTATAACCCAATTAAGCAGTCTGATACAGTTCTAAAGATAATGAAGATAAATTTACTATGCAATTGGCCCGAGATATTTTCATTAAAAATTTCCCTCTTAGGGAAAAAAAAAGCTTAGCTTGCTACTCTAAAAGCTGATATAAACATAACCACGTGAAAGTCACATGACATGACATTTGCCTTTTTATTTGCTGTTGGTTCCTCAACGCCCATACCCCTCACTCCCAGGCCAGGCTCAAAGTAAAATCTCAAAATACTAGGTGTATGGACAAATGATACTTTTCTTCACTAAACAGTGAAGTTATAAAATAAGATTTCTTAGGAGGAGGGACAGGAAACTCCAAAATTAAGCCTAAAAAAGCAGAGAAAAACAGACAGGAAAGCAGCCGGAAACCCCATGGTAAAGGCCAGCTACAATGGTCAGGAGGAAACGTGTGGTTTCCTGAATGGTACCCTTAAAGGCCATGGACATTTGAAGCATGACACACATAAGCCAAGTGTGACAGTCACACTTTGGAGTTGCTCTGCAAAGTTGTTTACATTCATAGGCTTCTCCCCCCACCCCCCGCCCCGTGCACTGCTCTTAGAAAGGGTATGGAGGTAGAGGCAGCTGCAATAGAAAAATAAAGCTGCAGAGAATTGGATAAAGGTATGCGTCAAGAACATCTGCCCTATAATGTCCTTAGGAGAGGATTTCTAAGCCAGAGCCCATTGAGCCTGTTGGGCATAATAACGCGACATCAGAAAATTGTGACCACCCTATAATTAGTATAAGTTGTGTTTGAGTGAGTGAGTGTGTGTGTGTGTGTGTGTGTGTGCATCCATGTACACACATCTAACTGGAGAGAAGACTCAGATTTCATCAGACTTTTTTATCAACTGGAGTGGGGCTTTTCTAAATCCATCATCATTTGGTAGGATCTATAGGTCGGGATAAAAGGGAAAAGGTGAGAGACAGGGAATGAACCCTTTGCAAGACCTTCTACTGACTGAATGAATATCTGTGAAAGGCTTAGAGCAGACCCAGCATATATAACATCCTGTGCATGTTAACTTTTATTGTTGTCATTACAACTGTATGCCCAGCACTTTATGCCCAGCTTTCTCAACACAACAACCCTATGAAGTCAGCATAAGTATCATATCCTATTTATGAGGACACAAACTCAGAGTAATTGATTAAGTAAATAACCCAGGGTCCCACAGGTGGTGGTGGTGTTCAGATATTGAATTCTAAAGCTTGGACTCTCTTTTCTCACCCCCTGGGCTAAATTACTGGCTGTGCTTTCAGTCTGAAGGTGGCCTCTCTGGCTACCCATCAGGCTTTCATATCTAAAGCTGTAGGGTCTTGCCCTAAGTCTGTCCATTAGAACTGGCACTGAGCCTATAAGTGAGCTTAGTCAAGCCAAAGTATCTGTTCGGTTACATAATATACTCCTAATCATCCCACTCAAATTCTGCAATGAGTTCCTTTGTAATCAAAGATATAAATCATACCTACTTTCCTTTGTGATGCAGTCAAATCAAAGGCCAGAAGGGGACATATGTTTTCCAGTAGTCACAAAATAATGGAGCTCTAAATCGAGTCTGCTATTTTCTGGTTTCAAAAGCCATGTTAAAAGCTGAAGTTAAACATCAGCTATTAACACATCCTCCTTTACATAATTGAGAATCGTGACAATCATATTGTTTAATGCACTTTCTATGTATCTACGCTTTATCCCTATGCCTCAAAAGAGTCAAATAGGCTACCTAGATGTAACTTCCTGAGAGGTTAATTAAGCAAGTCCCTCAGGGTCACACAGCAACTAGTGGGAGAGCCAGGATTTGAACCAGGTCTGTCTGACGACAGCATCCCAGCTCTTAACTACATTCTGCCCACCTGTCTACACAATCGCTGTGATTCATGGAATCTAAGGCTGATAACATCTCTTCTTGATTTTCACTGGACTCCTTCCCTGACATCTGGCCAACCTCTGAGGAGTAGTGGAAGCAAGTTAGATGGACTTTATAAATAGAAGGTTCCAGTTTCAGGACCCGCTCTGACAATGACAAGCTCTGTCACCTTAGACAAACCCCTTAACCTTCCAAGGCCCATTTCCTCACCTATGCTTGAAGATCATTGTCCATGTTATACAATCTGGAAGAAAATAGGAGCTAAGGCTAAAGTGTCAGGAAATGTCCGTTACCTTAAGCCAATAATTCAAAAACTAGGTGGTGGCTCTTTCTCATCCTCCCTTTTGCACTCAGCTTCAGTGTTTGTCTTGGCGCTACCAAGTTACACCACCACTACCACCAGCAGCTTCTAATGGCCCCTCCTCCCCAGTGGCTGCTGTTTAATTTTCCTACCCCTCAGGTTACTTTCTTTTACTTCTGACTCTTCACTCGAGGCGCTGCCACTTCCTAGGACCAGTGTGTCCAAGGGACTTCGCTGCTTCGTGCTGCGCCAACAGCATCCCTGCACACCCTGTATCCCTGCACACCCTGTATCCCTGCACACCCTCCGCGCTCTCCAAGGTACACACCCGAGGCGCATAAGGCAGTGCTCCCGCCCCTACAGGGGTGGGGGGTGTGACCCAAGAGTTTAGGTAGGAGGCGCTTGCAGTCCGGAACACCCCGCCGTCGGAGGAGTTTCCTCTGCTGCAGTCTCCCCGCTGGAGCCCCGCGCGGAGTAGGGGGGGGTGGGGGGCGGCCCTCCGCTTCCAGAAGCCGGGACGCTGGCCCTCCCACAGCCTCCACACCAGCCCGCAGCACCGCCCGCCATGAGACCACCGCTCTACCGCTGTCACAACACCACCTCGGTGGAGAAGGGCTACTCGGCAACGATGGGCTGGGTGCTCTTCAGCGCGGGCCTCCTGGGCAACCTGTTAGCCCTAGGGCTGCTGGCGCGCTCGGGGCTGGGGTCGTGCCGGCCACGCCAGCCGCGCCCGCAGCCCTCGGTCTTTTATGTGCTGGTGTGCGGCCTGACCATCACAGACCTGCTGGGGAAGTCTCTCGTGAGCCCCTTCGTGCTGACCGCCTACGCGCAGAACCGGAGCCTGATGGAGCTGCAGCCGGGCTTCGGCAGTTCACTGTGCCAAACCTTCGCCTTCTTCATGACCTTCTTCGGGCTCGCCTCGACGCTACAGCTCCTGGCCATGGCCCTGGAGTGCTGGCTTTCCTTAGGGCATCCTTTCTTCTACCGACGGCACATCACCCTGCGCCGCGGCGTGCTGGTGGCGCCCATCGTGGGCACCTTCTCTCTGGTTTTCTGTGCCCTGCCGTTCGCGGGCTTCGGGAAGTTCGTGCAGTACTGTCCCGGCACCTGGTGCTTCCTCCAGATGGTCCACGAGGATCACTCGCGCTCAGTGCTGGGCTACTCAGTGCTCTACGCCAGCCTCATGGCTCTGCTGGTCCTCGCCACGGTGCTGTGCAACCTGAGCGCCATGCGCAACCTGTACGGCATGCACCGGCGGCTGCGGCGGAGTCAGCGCAGCATCTCCCGGGACCGCGCGGAGCCCGGCGCTGGCGAAAAGGTGGGGTTCCCACAGCGGCTGGAGGAGCTGGATCACCTGCTGCTGCTGGCCCTCATGACCGTGCTCTTCACCATGTGCTCCCTACCTTTAATTGTGAGTGTCTCGGCGCCCAGGCTGGGGGAGATAAAGCGCGTCGGGCCGTGGGTTCCAATACCCGGCAAGGAGTTTGTAGGACCCGGCGTGAGCAGAGATGTGCCCAGGATCAGAGGGTTTGTTGCTGCTCTTCCAAGTCCGCAGCCTCGAGAAGACAGAAACCAATTTGTTAGTGGGAAGAGGGAAGTTCAGAGAAAGGTAGGGGAAAACTGAGTCAGCTGGTGTCCTCTGAACGCCACAAATCCTCTCCAGTTGATAAAAGCCCTCTCTACTCCCTTCTGGGAACACCTCAGTATTAATTTGGCTCCCCAGAACGTTAAGGAACAGAATTTGGTTCCTTCTGGCCTCTGCCGGTCCCCTCCTATTTCCTGATAGCTACGTGATGTCTTTATCTCCTAGACTTGCCCCTGAGTTTAGTGGCATCGGAAAAGTGAATGGCCAGTGAGAGTTGTTGGATGAGATGTTGGTGTGGAAAGGGAATAGGGGAGGTGTGATCCTGCCAGAGTGGTTGGCAGAGGTGAGTAACTAAAGCGTAGGTTTAGTGTGGAAGGAGTCGTGTAAACACTGAGGGGTGGTGGAGGCTAGCGCCTCGGTGCAGGAAGCGGTGGGGGCCGGAGAGGCAGGGAGGGTGTTTGGATAGGCAGATGTGTTAAGTGCATTTCAGCAGGTAGTGAAATTTGGATAACCAGTCTGGACAGGTTTTGGTTCTATTTTGGCAAGCGAGGTGACATGAAAACCATTATGGAGGGGAGGGGGGTTTTAAAAAAAAGAAAGCCATTATTTTGGATTTCAATTTACTAATGGAGGTGATGGTGGAGATTGAAATTGTTTTTGAGGATGTTTCCTCCTGGGGATTTGGCCAAAATACCTAAGGTTTAATCATTGTCAATTCAATGTCTTTGGAACCCTGAAACTTCTGTGAATAGAAAAGTCAAGTTTCTTGTGGCCGTGTAGCAATTTGAGATGTTACATTCTAGAGTAAAAGTGAACATTTCCCCTTAAATGAAGGCCTTAATGAGTGAGGAAAGAATTGTCTATAGTATCATCATTCCAGATGAGAATCAGAACTCCTGAAAATAGATAATTAAATCTATATCTATACATATAGACATGGACATGGACATAGTACTTAGCAGTGGTTCTTAAACTTAAGCACTCACAGAAGCATCTGCTAAGCTTTTAAAAACAGTTGATGGGGCTCTGCGTTCCTGATTCAGACTTTTTTGAAGAAATAGCATGCTTAACAAGTTCTCAGGTGAGGGCAAAGTTGCTGGTGAGACTGCATTTGGTGAACCACACTTTGAAAAGCTGGAGTTGGCCAAGCACAGTCCACAGGCCAAATCGGTGCTGCCCACTGGTTTTGTACAACCCGGGAGTTAAGGTTAGTTTGTACAAATGAATGCCTGCCATCAAGTTGATAACAGAGCACATGAAATCGGATTCCCAACTAAGTCAAATACTATTCCAAGAGGGGAAAAAAGACTGCCATTCTTCTTTTTAGTAGACCTGTGTTACAAAAAATTGTTCTCAGTCATTATTATTATATCTTAAATTTCATCAATAAAAAATTATAGAAATGTAGAGGTTTTGTTATGTAAGTACTTATCAAGATATTTTGATTACCAAATACTTAGCAAGATGATGTGACTTTGTCCCATAAAACTTAAAATATTTACTCTCTGATCTTTCACAGAAAACATTTGCAGCCCCTGTCCTATAGCCTTACTTATCTATGCTGTAATAAATGTAGATAATAGCTAAATGCATGGATATTATGTCCTGAGCTTGAATGTTTTAGTAAGAATAATGCAGAAAGAAGCATAATACAGTGGAAAGAACTTTGCATTTGGAGACATCTCTAAAGGAATTTGAATAGCTCAGGGAATTGTGAGGACTGAAGGTAATAATGGATTTGAAAATGGTTTTCTAAAACACTTGTAAAGTTTCAAAGATAAGCAAAGCAGATAGCTTTCTTCACAGGAATATAATTTTCTGGAATAAGGGTTTCAGTGTCAGACTTGGGTTTAAATCTGGCTTTTCCATTTACCAGCTATGATATGGGCTTTCTACCCTTTTAGAGCTCTGTTTCCTCATCTGTAAAATGAGGATAAACATGCTTGCTCTGGAAGATAGTTATGAGGATTTGAAGTAATACGTATAAAGCACCTAAAGAGGTATGTGGTCTCAAATTAATATCACTTTTATCTCTAACCATAACCTCCATGTATTAATTATCATTGCCTGCTGGAAATAGAAAATTAATTGAGAATGTGATCTCCTCTGGAGATAGTGTTATATTTCAAGGCAGTGGCTCTTGAACTTGTTAAAAATTTAAACATTATTAAGAACCCAAAGAGCTTTAATTTATGTAGATTATATCTATTTGCATATATCATATTTAGAAATTAAATATTTAATCAGAAATTAAAAATGAGATTTTTAAAAATATTGCAAAATGAGTTAACAAAACATACTATTTCTCATGCTTTTGCACAAGGAAAACTTTGAGATTGCAGAGTGATTTGATGAATGAGAATAAAGTTACAAAGATTATAGCAGGTAAAAAAATAAAAGGCATATTGAAAGCACAGGACTGAGAACAGAGTTTGAAAATGCACATAAGTATTTCTAAACCTGCTACCTTAGAAAGGCGTAGAAAGTGCAAGGATACCAAGCACATGTTCCATTAGCCATGAGAGTAATGTCACCACTGTATCCATAAAATTCACTGTCCACCTATGAGAGCATGCAGTGAAAAAGTCAAATAACATCTTTTTTTGAAAACAGTTTTGAACTCTTAGTCGCATTGAAAGGATACTAGCAAGCCCCACACTTTACCAAATAGTGGACCTAGTGACTGGGAAAGGGCAGAAAGGCTTTTAAAAATTATAGCATAAATATTACGTTTCATTGAAGCAATAAAAAGTTTGCTGAAATAAGAATCTTTAAAATTAAATGTGTTATGATGTTGGACTAGAGCAGGAAATTTAACTAGATTGAATTTTCAAATTTCCAATTTGACACAGTAGGAAAAAAGTAGAGAGAATATGGGATGAACTTTGGAGGCAGATTGCAGCCCATTCTCTAAATGTGTATGACATTTTCATCAAAGTTATTTTTGCCTTAGAAAACCACAATGTATTAGGGGTTGGTAGGGCAGCAGGGATAGATGAGAGACAGTACTGGTGTGTAGACGGATGCTATAGCTGACAGGGTTAGAAGCCAGGAAAGTAATTACAAGCATGTGTAATTGCGTATGTCAGAATCCACAGAAGTCAAAAAGTGGTTAAGAACACCTGACATGTTTCAAGATAGCTTCTCTTTGTGTTTCATTCTGGCGAGATGATACATCCAGAGTAGGCTGTCACAGGCATGTAAGAGAAGATAGGCTTGAGATGGGCGAGGAAAAAGGTCGGAGTGAATTTAGAGGACTAGACAGAAGGTGAGGTCGAGAGGGCTGTAATGGATCAACCGGACAGAAGAGGGCATTAGTATCCACAGAGCTACCCTGAGAAGGGATTTCCAGCCAAGCTTAGCCAATAGCGAGTTGGTAAAAGCAACATTTTTCATGAACTTTTACATCCAACAGAGGGCGCTCTTCTCACACCAATTCACTGCAAATTGAAATACTTTAAAGATGCCTGACTTAAATTCTGAGGTTGTTATTTTAGCTACCTATTACAGGAGCGGATTATAGAGTATGTTCCAGAAAATGTATAAAGATTGACCCTCAGAGATTATTCAAAAGTCTAAATAGTGTTCAAAGTGATATTTGAGAACAGAACGTGCACATTGAATTAATAAATTTACATGTTTTTAGCAAACTCAAAAAATAGAAATAAAATATTTATTTTAATAAATAAAATATTAAGCGTAGAACAAAACACTTCCAATACAAAGCAAGTAACCTGAAAATACTAATAACCCAATAGTATGCTGTAGAATTAATCTGGATAAATATGGCAGAGTTCAATTATATAACTACTGTTCAGTTAGGTGGTCCCAATCAATCAAGCATTCTCAAATAGTTGAAAGCAAATATTTCAAGCCACACTGCAGTGTTCTTGGCATTACAGAAAAGTAATGCTTCCTAAGTGAAGTGAGTGAATTTATTGCCTCCATCAACCTTTTGATATTATAATGGAATGTTTTCCTTTAAAACAGTATCGTGCTTATTACGGAGCATTTAAAGCTGTCAATCAAACAAATGGACCCACTGAAGAAGCTGAAGATCTCCTTGCTTTGCGTTTTTTCTCCGTGATCTCAATTATCGACCCCTGGATTTTCATCATTTTCAGAACATCAATATTTCGAATGTTTTTTCACAAGATTGTCGTAAGACCACTTATGTATCGGAATTGGTACAGCAATTCCTGCCGAACTAACACGGAATCCAATCTGTGACAGCGTTTACGCTCTCTGGTAAGCTGAGGAATATTTCATATTTTCCGTCAAAGAACCATCATAAAAATTTTCACATTTTAAGGCTTTAAAAGTCATCTCCCACAACAAACATCTACATGTCTTTTCAAAAGTATTTGATAAATCTTAACAATGTATTGTCACTCTATTTATGAACCCGTTCAGTGGATTTTTTTCATTTTGAGTTATTAATAGCAGCAAAAATTTCATGTATTGTAAACAATTTTCATGTCTTTAAAGTCAGGATATTCATTGTTCCCATATTTGTACTTTATGTCCCTATTTTTTTTTTTTGCAGGTCTTGTGACCTTTGGCTCTTTATTTAAGTGCAGTGGAAACATCACTGTTTACAATTCTGTTATGGGTATCCGTAAATTTTCTTACCCCATACATTTCTAGTGAAAACTGGGTTTATTTCATATTATACTCACCCCAGTTTAATTGTTTTTCTTTGCCAACTGAGCTAAGGGTGCCTGACCTACAAATACCAGGGAGAGATGAAGCAGGGTCAGGTGATTGAAGGCCAGCCCCAGCTACTCCTAGGGAAGGCACTGACAGCCTCAGATGGAGAGATGTGATCAGCACATAAATAGGTGCCAGGCTCTGTGTGATTGTGCCTCACAACTCAGAGAAAAAAACTAGAATTTAATCTTCTGAAGTCCACTTTGTTGGGCATTGAAGCAGGGGTGTCAGTAGAAATCAAAACTTGGGAGTGGTCTACAAAATGTTTTGATTTTTATAACCTTCACTTTATAGGTTTACCATACTGATGGATTCTTTGGAGGAGGGATTTAGGCTTCTTTGCAAGGAAGCAATGCATCCTGGCCAGAGAGCCCTGTTGACTGCGGTTGGCGCTGTGAGGGAGCAGGTGAAAGGCCCAGCCAGTACTCAGTCACCTTCCATTAAGAGTAGTGACAAAGGCTATAACTTCTACCTATTAGCAGCCATATTCTGCTCTTTGTGGGACAGTAAGACCTTATTGAGGTTCCTGAGAGCTGTATGATTTCAAAACTGGAGCAGGATGTGGTTCAGCTAGAGCCCAATTAAGCACTTTAATTCTTCATTTAAATGTTTACAAAAGTTAGCAACACTATGGCCAAAAGGAAAAAGTGGGGAAATACAGCTGCAGCTGTTACACTCAAGAGACCAACCCAGCTTGTAGGTAAGAACTTTCGCCTTTTGTAAGAGAACAGATGGGAGACATTCTAGAGTCTCCTAGTCCCCAGATGCATGAACACTCTGAGATGAAGTTGACTGTGTTTGAATAATCCTGAGACCCGCATGCAGCCATCCCTCCCAAAGACAGTATTTAATTTGCATTATTTTCAGCTTAGCAGCAATCCCATTTTTCACCTCTGGTTTATCTCAGTGATGGTATTAACCTGGAAGTATGAGAGAGAGAGAGAGAGAGAGAGAGAGAGAGAGAGAGAGAGAGAGAGAGAGAGAGAGAGAGTGTGTGTGTGGTACGTTTTATATAGCAAACTGTGAAATGGCCAAGTTAAGAATACACAGGTTATAACTGAGAGTATGACATGATGAACAATTCAGTGTTTTCAAGGTTTAACTTTGTCTATTTAATGTATAAGTGTAAGTAGATGTGTTTTATGTCTGAGGAAGTATGCCTCTTTTTGCTTGCCTTTTGCAAGTCGTGTTATAATCATTGTCAAGACAATATGAAAAAGTCCTGGATGAATCAATAAACATGATTTTATAATATTTTGCAGAGGAAATTACTTTTATTCAAATGAAATAAAAAGATTTAGTTTTCTTTTTTGAGTAAAAAATTGCCATCAGTCTCATTTTCTAGTGGTTTAATAGTGTGAATTTTTATATGCTATTCTCAGAGAATTTATATTAAGCAAGTTTACACAGGTTTATGTATGGGCTTGGTAATTTTATTTTTTAAATACAAAACATGCATATGCCATTCTGATGAAATCTATGCTGAGCTAAAAGTCAACTTTTTGAAGATATATTCATCAGTTCACTAAACAAATCTTTATTTATTTGTTTATTTATTTATACAAGCACTGGGTACAGTCAGAAGCATGGGAGGGTGAGAGAATTCACCAGAGCGGGGAGCAGAGCAGGCAGAGTGACGAAGTACACTGCTGAGGGGAGCAGTGGGCAGCAGGAGAGGTCTGCGCGCCATGTGGAACCCTCCTCGGGTGGCCGGGGAGCAGCCGGGGATCGAACGGGTGCTGCAGAGGCTGCTGGCAGCTTCGCAACCCAGCGCTCAACCGCTGAGCCACCGGGGAGGCCCACACTAAACAAATCTTAATTGATAAAACCCTTGTGCTAGACAGGTGGTTAGGTGCTGAGGGAAAGAACACCTAAGACAGTCTTGGTGGGTGGGTTGCTCATTGTTCTTTGGTGGAGACAGGCTCATAAATGGTTACAACACAGCATGAAATCCCAGGGGTAAATGTGCATATGCTATCCTGATAGACAAGGAGGTTGAAGTAGAGTTAATGTGTAGGCTTGTTAGGAGGACTTCAAAGTGAGAAGAAACTTGAGTCAGGTATTGCAAATTAGTAGGAACTTTGATACCAGTTGAAAATTGGACAAAGCACACAAAGAGATCATTTAAACAAAAGGAAATACATAAGGTTAGTAAGTATAGAAAAAATTGCAGCCTAATCAAAGAAATGCAAAATGAAAGTCAAAGTATCAAGGACCAAATAGAAAAAAATTATGAAACTCATTTAACAGACACTAAGAGAAACACACAGGCCCCTGGTGAGTTTGTAATTGTGTATAACTTTTCTTGATAGCAACCTGGTAGTGTGTATCAAGAGCATAAGACTGTTCTTTCTATTCTTCCAGTAATTCCACTCTAGAATTCTCTAGAATATTCATCAGGATTATCATAGTTATATACTAAACTTTTTGGTAATATAACATACATCTGGATAGGTATAAACCTATACCTCTGAATTATATACAGTGCTGTAATTCATATTACCTAAAATAACACAACAAAAAAGAAAAAGAAAAAATATGAAAAGGAAAGACTCAAACAAGGTTGAAACAAACTGTTCAGATATATGTACATACAAAAACATGAATGAAAGTAATGCAGCCATTTTAAAAAAGATGTTTTCAAATAACTTATAAAAGTTCAGAAGCTTACAATGAAAAGTATGACACAGGGCCTCCCTGGTGGCGCAGCGGTTGAGCGCTGGGTTGCGAAGCTGCCCGCAGCCTCTGCAGCGCCAGTTCGATCCCCGGCCACCGGGTGAGGGTCCCACATGGCGCGCAGACCTTTCCTGCCGCCCGCTGCTCCCCTCAGCAGTGTACTTCATTGGTCTGCCTGTTCTGTTCCCCCCTCTTGCTCTGGTGAATTCTCTCACCCTCCCGGGCTTCTGACTGTACCCAGTGCTTGTATAAATAAATAAAAATAAATCTTAAAAAAAAAAAAGTATGACACAAATTACTTTAAGGTATAATCCATAAATATATATGCATAGAAAATACCATGTAAAAATAAAAGAATCTAAGTATAAACTACAGTTACCATTTTATATACTCTTCTCATACTTTGTATTTTCCAAATTTTAACAAAGTCAGTCCAAATTTTTTCACATGAAATTTTCTTTTAAAAGGATGAAAATAAATTGGACAAGCAAATAGAAGAGGGAAGTGTGAAAGAAAAATTTTCTAGTCTAAAAAATCAGTCGTGTAAAGCCATCTGGAATAAAGAGCATGGTATGTCCAAGCTGAATAGCTCTATTTGATAGAATTGTCAGAATTACGAGCAAAAGTTGGGGGGAGAGCTGAAGAGAGGCAGTTTTCATATTAAACTGAGTGTCAGCTGCAGGAGTGGAGGACTAGAGCTTTTTAAAAAAATTGTTTTTAAATTTTTTTTAAAGATTTATTTATTTATGAATACAAGAGCTGGGATGCAGGACAGAGGTGCGGAGGAGGCGGTGGGAGGGTGTGTGTGAGAGGTCAGCAGAGACAGAGTGGGGAGCAGAACATGCAGATAGACTGAAATACACTGATGAGGGGAGTAGTGGAAGAGACAGGAGAGGTCTGCTGTGCCATGTGGGTCACCTTGCTGGCCAGGGATCGGGGATTGAAGCCGCAGTGGCTGGCAATAGCTTTATCTCACTGAGACTTTAATCCCTATGCCACTAGGGAGGCCCCAAGTAGGGCTAGAGCTCTTTAAGGTACAGATGCTCAATGAAAACTTTGAAGGCACAATGCAAACAGAATGGAGTTTGAGGAAGACCATGCTGGTGGATGGTGGATGAAGGATTGTGGATGAAGCAGGTGGGGTCACTGGGTGGGGTGAGAGGGGGTGTGCGGGGCCCCACACAGCCCTAGAGTCCATGCATTAGATCAGGCCAGTGGCTCAGGAAATGAATGTGACTGCCCAGCCCTGTTGACCTGCCTGGGAGTTGCACTAGCTCAATGAAAGAGCCCCTTTTTGTGTTCTTTCTATTTGGAAGGGGCACAGTGACACCATATGTCTAGGCACAGGAGTGTCCAGGTGCAGGGGAGAGAAAGTGGTGAGGAACTTACACAATGGGAAGAGAGAGATGAAGTGACACAGCTTCTTAGTGGGTAGACCTAACAGGAACAATTCCAATTAATGACTCAGTCATGCCTTTTGTTCTTCTGTCAGTTTCATATATTTGACCAGTTTTTGCTTCTGAGTTTCAATATAATCAGAATAAGTTAGGAAAGGGAAAATTTCTGAAAAACGTCTTTTTCCCCCTTACATTCCAGTGTATCAGAACAGGAGTTTGCAGGTATTAATTCCAGTAACATCTCTATGTTATTTGTGGATTTCACTTATATACCTATCCTGCCAAGTCAATAAAGGGCCAACTAGTACAACTGTTAATTTAATTCCGAAACCTATCAAAGGTTAACTTGACCAAGTATTCCTGAAATTTTAGGGGAGAGAAGGGATCTCACAGATACCAAGTGCTCACAGTTTTCTTGCTCACTGAACTGAAAATATCCATGCTCCAGGCCTGGACTTCTCAAAGTGTAGTCCTGGACCAATAATTTCAGCCTCACTTGGAATTCAAACCCAGACCCGCTAATCGGATTGTTGGGCAGGAGAGGGAAGAGAGGGCTACAGCAAACTGTGTTTTCACATACCCCTTGGTGATTCTCCTGCATGTTCAAGTTTGTGAACCACTT